GGACAGAGGTAAATGATAAGGTATGTACAACCTTGGAACAACAGGGCTCCAGGATACAGGGATTGAGGCATGGTTTGAAGGGGTAAAAGAGGGGAATAATGTTAAGATGCTTGGGTGTCTTTTGAATCTTGGTTTCCCTTGCCTACCATTGTAAAATAGATACTAGAGGCGGGGAGAAAGGAATAATAGCCAGAATCATCACTACAGAAAGCTTGTAAGTCCATCTTCAGCCTATAACTGATTGGAATACCATAAAGGGGGCTAGAAGTTGCCCAGTGAAACAAGCTTCCTGTGGAGCCTTTACATTGCACAAGACCATAGGTGGAATCCAGAACCCCATCCAGAATCATCTGAGGTAGGAAATTTCCACTGGAAAGGATGAGTAGACCAGCCTGGAGCGGCCAGAAGAACAGAAGATACTTCATGAAAGAAAGACCGGCAGGAAAAATCCGAAACAATAACAACTGTCTGATTGATTACAAGAACAAGTAATCTGTTACCAGAAGCCATCAAGGTAAGTGGTCGGGACCCCTCAGAGCAAACTCCCTTTCAAGACTGAGACTCAAGGGGAATACATCAGCAGGCATGTGGTTTGGCTGGTGACCACACTGATCACCGATAAGGGGAAGAGGAGGGAAAAAACAGCACTGAAGTTGCGAGCTAAGTCCAACCACATTCAATAGACCCTTGTGAACCTGGGTGGAAACCTGGATGGCCAGCAGTACAGCAAGACCTGGGGACTCCTGGGCCCAGAGGCAGTGACATGGCCACAGAGGACTAGAGCAGAGATTGAAGCGTCCACCTGATATGAAGTGAGGGTAGATGCACAAGAACACCCATACTTGCAGATAGTACCCACTTGAACTGGCTTCAATGGCTGGATGATCAGAACTTGACTAGGAGAAAGAAGAGGCTAAAAAAAGAGTAACCTGCTACAATTTGATAAACTTTACCTATACTTATGCATGTAATAGCTCAAAAAAGGGACCAAATCTTTACAGTGAGGACCACTCTCACCCCCTCAGTACACAGGGTTGACAGGGATGGGCAACTTAGACATTGGCTACCCAAAATCGGGAGGTGGGGTGGGAGGGCTATGAAGGCAAGAAGTGGACTGGCTTACAAGCTTTCAAGAGAGTGCATAGTTCCAGATGGGGCAGGGGAAGGTAGAATCTCCACTGAATGATTTCCAGTCTGTTGGGACCAGGCTGGCAAAAGGAAATCGGGATAAGACTCTTATGGTACAATAGTGAATAATTGCCATCACGACTGACTGTGAGAGTAGGAAACATAGAGGTAGATGTTTTTTGACAAAAGGAGGGGAGAGATTGATTTTGCAGCCCAGGAGCAGAGGTCCCTGGGACCATCAAGTGAGAAGAGCGGAAAGCGGGACCCTACCCAAAGAGGCAGAGATGCCAGGTATAGAGACAAAGATGATGAAGTGGACAGATAGACTCAGGGAGCAAGAGATGATGAAGTGGACAGATGGACTCAGGGAGCAAGACAGGCCAGGAGGTGGGCCTGTGGGGTGTACCTTTTGGTTATATGATGATGCAAGGAGGGGACTGTAATCATTGCAATGAAATAAAATACAATAAGATGAATGTAAAACTGATACTCTTCCATGTAAAACTCACAATAAAAACTTATTAAGAAAAAAAAAAAAAGAAAAAGCAGGCTGGGGCTGGAAAACCAGGCAAATGGAAACCGGGAACCCGAGGAGGAAATGGGGAGAACGCTAAACACATTGTGGGATTCCAACCAATGTCGTGGAATCATGTGTGCGTAAATAAATTGCTCAATGTGAAACAGATTCGCCTTGTAAGCCTCCACCTAAAACCACAGTAAAATATCAAAACAAAACAAAAACACTATGAAGCAGTTCTACTCTGCACATACGTTGGAATCCACTTACCAGCTACTGACAACAGAATGCATTGTCTAACTCTGCCTGAAGGTGTCACTCAAAACCTCACAAAGGAAGTAACATATATTTTTTTTCTAAAAGAAGTTTCCCAAATGAGGAGGTCGTTTGGGTATTTTGATCAGAATATACGTTAATATATGCATAATACAAAAAACTATAAAATGTAAAGGACTCTGTGAGTAGAACTTCGAGTAGGTGGCATAACTGATTACTCCATTCTTACAATTGTTGGGTGCTGCCATGTCGATTTCTATTCAGAGACCCCATGTGACTGAGTCCAACTGTCTGTCCTACAGGGTTTCCTAGGCTGTAATCTTTCTAAGAGCAGAGTACCAGGTCTTTTCTCCCAAGGATATTCGCTTGTTTTCCCAACACCTAGCACAGTATTTGACTCACAGAGTTTAATGCTTTGCTGAATACTTATTGTTGAAGTCTTGAAGGTTTATATGTACTGTTTCATACACTTGTTGGTTCAAGGATCCCATTTTCTATTTATTTCTAATCTTCTGGATATCCACTGTTCAATGTTCTACATATAGAAGATACTCAACACAGGTGAACTAATACCTTAAGATTACATGAACAGAAAGATTTAGAAGTCTAACAGGCCAATTTTAATTGAAGTCACTATGCAAACTCACCTGCACCAGTTGCTCTTTGTGACTCAGATTATTGTTTAGGTGCTGAATGTTCTGCTCTCGCATTCGAATCTCATTGTATTTTTCAGCCTCCAGGGTATGAAGTTGCTGGTTTTTATTCTGCAATTCTCCTTGTAGTTGTTGCAAAGCTTTTCGTAATTCCTGAATAAAATATATTCCCTTTTTAAGCAGTCTAAAATCTTCACATGATCATTAGAGAAGGTCACCTTAAAACTTCCAATACAGATAAAACTAAGTATAAAGTAGCAGGAAGAACCATTTTTTAAATTGCTATAGAAACATAGTAAGTGAACTGAGTTGTTGTTGTTATGTGCCATGGAGTCAGTTCCGACTCATAGCGACCCTATACAGGGTTTCCGAGGCTGTTAATCTTTATGGAAGCAGAAAGCCTCATCTTTCTCCCACGGAACAGCTGGTAGTTTCAAACTGCTGACCCTGAGACTAGCAGCCTGATTCTTAACCAAGTAAACTGAGTAGGATCTGTTAAATTATGGTACTTGAGAATGGGGAGACCTATATAACAATGGTTTAAGTGGTATTCTGTCTCACTGTAAACCTAGACCCTAAACTCAAGGATAAGATATTCTATTACATTCTCATCTAAATGCTCTACAGAATTCACAAAAACTATCATCTCCTTAATTTACCATATATAGCATTTTTCTAACAGTAAGATCGATAATCCTGCTGTACATGGAGATGATTCATCCATATATTACTTTTGTTGTTGCTGTTTTTAAGTGCCATCAAGTTGATTCTGACCCATAGTGACCCTGTATAAGGTTTCTGAGGAGCGGCCGAGGAGCTTGAACCGCCAATCTTGTGGTTCAAACTGACTTTGCAATGCAATACACAAGCCCACAGGACCACACCATTACTTTAGACAACTCCAAAACGGTACTGCCATACCAACTAAACCAAACTTAGGAAAACGTTTTCTTTAAGTAAATAGCAAAAAGTTCAGGATTATTTCCAGACCCTTTCCTACACTTCCCTCTCTCTTTCAATCTCCCTGCCCCAGACATCTGGAATTTTAATATGCCCAAAGGAAACTCAGGGCTAATATTGAATCTCCAAAATAGTTACTCCAGGAGATCCTTTAAAAACTACATTTTTAAATCCTAAATGTTAAAGGGCCAAAGAAAAGACCTACAACATATAAAAGATCTTTTAAAAAACAAAACAAAATAACAACAAAAAAATGCACATGCTCTAAGCTAAGAAAATACAGGAACCAATTAAGAATAATGTATTTTATTTAAAGTAAAATAGCTAAACATGCAAGCCCTTCCTTCAGTCTTGGTTGTTCTCTGCTCACTGTCCTATCTGGCTGACTTGTAGACACCTTTCAAAAACACGTCCTTTCAGGAAACTTTTCTTCAGCCCCTCTAACACATACATCTAGCACCTCATGCATTCCTCTTCTATAGTATTTACCACATTTGAAATTCTATGTAGATGCCTGTCGCTCATACTAAATCTCAAATAGCTAGGAGGAAACATCCTCAATTAATCACTCTAACATTTCCAGAGCCTAGTTCAATGTAGCATATATACGAACATGGCAATAAATGTTTTTGAACTGAGTTAGGTAGATTAAGCCAATGACTCAGAGGAGAAACAGAAACTGTCCTGCTACAAAGTTTCCATCAGGGCAAAGTCAATAGTGAGGACCATAAAATGGTTAATGCTTTACCTGGTTATGTTTCCACGAAGCCTCCTTCTGCTGCTCTCTTTCATGTGCTGCAGCCTCTGCAAATTGCACACATCGCTTGGCATCAGTCAGCTGGCGTTCTTTCTGCCGTACCACCCTCTGAAGTTTCTGGATTTCAAGCTGGCTGAAGAATAAAGCACTTTGAAGATCAAGAAGAGCCACCTGTTGTTGAGCCGGGGAAGTACCCTCTGAACTCTGAAACGAGAGGAGGAATCATCATCACAAGCAGAACAAGCACTGAGCAGCTGAGAAGACCAACAAAATCCAAACTGAGACTGAAAATGGCACACCCCCAATTAGGAGCCCCTTTTCTTGTCCTACGTGACCCTCACAGACCTGAAGGTGTCCAAGCTGGCTTTGGTGCAGCATTTCTCGAAGCTTTGCCATTGTGTCATTTTGACTTTCAATCACCTGGTACAACTCCTCAGTCTGAAAATGAGCAGTGGAGTACCAAATATATTAGCAAGCTAAATATAAACTCTATTATCTCAGAATATAGTATAAATTAGCTAAATATAAATTCTAACGTCTCTGTACAGGGTTTAGTTAATAGAACCATTTCAAAATACTAATTTAGGATGTATGACAATTTCTCCAGGCTGTGATCTGTTAGTCTGGTCTGACAATATTCATTTCTATAATATACAGAACACTTGTCCACTCTGATAGGATGTATAGTGTCCTCTCAGATCCTTGACTGCTAAAGATTTTACCTCACTTTCCCGGCTTTTTAGAGTTTCCTTGAGGCTTTGAATTGTACCATCGTACTTCTGAGATGACTCCTGAGCAGACTTTAGTTCAAAGTTCATTTCGTTTAGTTTCTCCTGAAGAATCTGAATTCAGCAATGAAAAATACAGTTTGTTAAGTCAATGTTTTTTTTGTTTTTGTTTTTTAATCTCAAAGACAACCATAAAGTTGTCCTTCAAATCTAGGGTTTAAGGAATTTCTTAGAGAATATTACTGGGTTTTGTTTTGTGACCTCTCCACCCCTCTTTCATATGTTGTTGTTAAGTGCTGAGTTGTATAGGGTTTCCTAGGTTTCCTAGGAGCAGCTGATAAGCTTGAACTGCCAACCTTGTGGTTCAAACCGACTTTGCAGTCCAGGGCATTAACCCACAGCGCCATGCCAGTTTAACGGAGCAACCATTAAACTCTTCAGTCAATTAGCAGGAGAAAGTACCAGAAATAAGAATACTTTTCCTTCAATAATCACATGCCTCAATTCTCAGGCACTTTGCTTTCTCTAAGAAGCCCTGGTGGCACTGTGAGTTAGGCATTGGGCTGCTACTGCAAAGTGGGCGGTTCAAATCCACCAGCTGTTCCGTGGAAGAAAGGTGAGGCTATCTGCTCCCATAAAGATTCACAGTCTCAGAGATCCTCCAGAAGGAAGCAATGAGTCGGAATCAACTTGACGGCAGTGGGTTTCATTAGAGTTTTCTCGAGTGTACTGTCTACGAAGGCAGTCATATGGGAGACTTAAACACAGACCAAGAGCTCTGCCTTCTAGTACAGGGCAGGATGCTACCAGGTCAGAAGCTTAGCATCCCAAACTGTGGGAATTTTCTTCTAGGCAGATGCTAAAATCCATGGGTTGTAAGGGGCGAGAAACTACACTAGGATCTAAAGCACAAACTACCTATCCCAGTGTTTCACACAATTACAGATTTGTATTCAAGTTGTAATGGCAGACCTAAAAGGCATCAGAAATTGTGATGAATGCAGAACAAGCTAAACTCCTGATGCACAGTACCTGGAAAAACTATACCTTTAAATAAAGCATCCCCTAGAGCACCAGGGACATACAGTATTCATTTCCCATGTCCTACTCAGAGAGGTTAGGAAGCTCTGGTAAGTGCAGTGGTTACGAGTCAGGCTGCCAATTTCAAGGTCAGCAGTTCGAAACTACCACGTGTTCCACAAGAGAAAGATGAGGCTTTCTGTTCTCATAAAGATTTACAAGCTTGGAAACCCTAGGCAGGGTCACTATGACTCAGAACCGACTCCACGGCACACCACCACCACCACCACCACTCAGAGAGGTTAACAGAGTAGCCTGAGTCACACCTGTTCTTGATCATACCTTGTTGGTGGTGTCTGTCTGTTGGATTTTTTCCTGGAGTTCAGCTAAGTGGGAATCGGATACATACTGCTGAGCTACTGTGGTCTCATTTGAATTCAGCTTTTGTTCTTTGAGTAGCTCTTCTGTCATAGGCTAGGAAGAAGCATCGAGACAAGTTGAGTTAAATGCAGCCAACAGTTTTATTTGTATTTTAACTGTCTTTGCCACCTTTTGCAGACTTGGAAATCCATAGTTGAGACATGAGTTGAGTATTAATTACTGAAGATAGTACAGACTCATCTCCACCTTTACTATATTCTCTAACACATTTCCTCAACTTCCCCTCCCCAGTCATATAAACATTCCATATTCACTTAAAGGAAATAATACAGTCTTATGAAAAATGCTTAGGAAGCCAAATATTCTCTTTTGTCTTTTTTTTACTTGGGGAATTCAAAGGACATACTCATCCTGATGTGCATACTGAAAAGTATTTAGGAATGAAGTATATTGATGTCTACAAGTTATCTGGAGGTGCATTTAAAAATAATATAGATTGAGGGAAGGGTAATGTTTGATTGATGATAGAAGCAAATATAAAATAATCTTAATTGTAGACACATGATGTACAAATTTGTATTTACTTTTCTCAATTTTTGTACAGTTTTCAACTTCTGTTTTTAAATTTCATGGTCAATGTCAAAAAATAATTATTTTAAATATGAAATTCCATATTATTTAATAAGAATTTGATTACCTAATACAGTTCTTCAGATGTGTTTGAATATGACACTTCAAAATATTTCATTAATTCTAAGAATTAAAAAATTATAACAACAACCATGCTTTACAGTTCAGAAATGAACAATTTTTACGTACTCAATTTGTCTTTTCAAAAGAAAAAGTTCCATTATACAAATGTAATTTTTTTTAAAAGCATAATGATCAAAGGTATACCATCCCTACGGGAGGAGAAATTACATTTCAATTATTTTTCTTTTAACATGCCTTTTCATGTGTTAGAAAACTTGGCAGACTTTAAATGAACTATATTTCAGATGAGAAGTCCTGGTGTGGTGCTGCAGGTTAATGCACTGGACTGCAATGTCGATTTGAACCATAAGATCGGTGGTTCAAACTCAACAGCTGCTCCTCAGAAACCCTATACAGAGTCACTATGAGTCGGAACCGACTTGACGGTACTTAAGAACAGTAGCATATATTAGATAATAGTGTTTCATCAATACTAAATATCCTGGATCTGGTCATACTGTAGCTATGTAAGGGATGTTGTCATCCTTAGGAAACACATGTGGAATATTTAGAATAAAGGGGCCTTAAACAAAAGCATCTGCAACTGATTCTCAAGTACTTCAGGAATAAAAAAAATAATAATGTGTCCGCATAAAGAGCAGTATTGTTGTTCAGTGCCGTAGAGTGGGTTCCAACTCATAGCAACACTGTATAGGGTTTTCAAGGCTGTATATCAGGGATGGGGAACCCTTTTTCTGCCAAAATATATAACATGATTCGTGGGCCATATAAAATTATCAACTTGAAAATTAGTCTGCTATATTTGGTCAAACACTTAATGAACTCCCCTCTAACATGATGGTTGGTGTGGCACTCACTGTAGGGTCAGCACTAGACTACAAACCATAAGGTCAGCGGTTCAAACCCACCAGCTGTTCCTCTGCAATCCTGTATGGGGTCGCTATGAATTGGAATGATTAAACAGTACTTAACAACAACAACGTGATGGCTGGAGTCCTGGTATGGTGCCACAGAATAAGCATTCGACCTCAAGGTTGGTTGGAACTGAAAGGCCAGTGGTTCAAACTCACCAGCTGCTCCTTGGAAACCCTATAGAGGGTCGCTCTGAGTCAGAACCGATTCAACAGCATTTAGCAACAAGAACAATGTGATGGATGAACTGAGATTGAATTGGCAGGGCCAGACCAAATGATTTTGCAGGACTATAGGTCTGTGGACCAGACCTTCCCCTCCCCTGTTGTAAATCTTTACAGGAGCAGAAAGCCTCATTTTTCTCCCACAGAGCAGCTGGTAGGTTCGACCTCTGGCCTGACCTTGCACTTAGCAGTCCAGAGCTTATCTTACAGAGCGATCACAAATGGAGCAAAATATTAACAACTGGTGAATCTGGGTAAAAGGTATATTATAGTATCTTAGAGTTATTTCACAAATCTTCTGTAAATTTGAAATGATTTCAAAATTTAAAATAAATATATGCCTATTTGAAGACAATTTTATAGCACATGCCTATATAAACAATCAATAGTGGTCTGGAAAGGATATTCCAAAAGAATTCACCAAAGAGATTCAGGAGGGAAAAAATGCATATTATTTATATATAAGAAGACTAATCATATTATGATAAACTTGTTGAATTCTATATAATATTTAAAGACACTCAAATAAAACTTCAGGAATTGCATCTCCTCTTCAACTACACACACACACACACACACACACACACTCCAAATAGGAAAAAAAATACAAACCCACTACAAAAAAGGCAGCAGACATTATTTTCCTAACTTTCAAAATTTGTTAATCATCTTTTGAGTAGTGGGGTTACAGCCCACCTTAAATCTCTTTCTGCAAGCAACCAACTAAAAGTGCAAAGATTTCAGAAGAAAGAAAATGTTTAATTCCTCCAGTGCTATTTATCAGTATTTCTAACATCTGTTAAGTACTATGATGTACGAAGTCTGGTATAAAAGCACTTTTGGGAATACAGTGGTGACTGATACATGGTCCTGGCTACAAGCAGTCTTGGTTTCACCATGAAAAATATAAGAATACATTTGCTTTAGCAGGGAGAATAGAGAAGTCTTCTTAGAAACGACCAAATGTAAGCTGGGCACGGAGAGAGATTGAGAGTTTCCACAGATGGCGATGGTAGGTAGATAAGAAAGGAAAGGCATTCTAGGAAGAGGGAACAAGAGAGCAATGTAGGGATTGTTGTTGTTAAGTGCCATAGAGTCAGTTCTGACCCATAGCGACCCTGTATGGGAGCGACTGGTGAGGACTGACTGGAGCGACTGGTGAGCTTGAACCACCAACCTTGCAATTCAAACGGCTTTGTAGTCTGGCACATTAATCCGCAGCGCCACACCATATGGATGCAAAATGCTGACTTCTGATAGTATTATCTTTGTATAATTCATCACTCAAACCAAGCCACTTTGAAGGTGTTAGTAATGTTATCAAGTTAACATATATAGCCTGGGACTATTCTAAGAAAAGCTGTTAACCTGTTGATAAGCCTCGATTCCTGGTGTGATGCTGTAGATCAGCACTGGAATGGAACCACAAGGTCAGCGGCTCCTTGGAAACCCTATACTGGGTCACTATGAGTCAGAAGAGATTCGAAGGCACTTCACAACAACAGCAATTTATAAACCCATAGCCATTTTTTGATGCGGTGCTGTAGGATCAGCACTGGACTGCAAACACAAGGTCAGCAATTCAAACCCACCAGCTGCTCCTGAAAAACCCTATACAGGGTCACTATGAGTCAGAACTGACTTGATGGCACTTAACAATAATAAAGCAAACTATAAGGTAGATAAAAATATATTTACTAAGTACTTACTGAGGGGCTACCTAAATGTTCTCAATCTTCACAACAGCATGTGGTTAAGGAGGATATTATTCTTCACATTTTATGAATGAAGAAACTAGGGCTGAAAAAAGTCACCCAGAGCTATATAAAGCCAATAAGTATGTAGATCTGACATTGAAACCCAGTCCTATAGCTTTTAAGCCCACCATATTTTTCCCTACTGTATTATTTTGTGGAGTCCTGGTGTGGCACTGTCAGATAAGCACTGGACTGCTAACTGCAAGGTTGGCAGTTCAAACCCACCAGCTACTCCTTGGAAATGCTACACAGGGTCATTATGAGTCAGAACCGACTGGACAGGATTTCACCATCACCACCACCATATTATTTTACAGGTTAAATGTCTTAATTGTAAAAAGAAAAGGTATCAAGAAATAGTCTCAATTACAAAGACATAAACAAGAGGGGGAAAAAAAAAATCATGAAAATTCTGACGAGTTGGTGTACCATCTCAGAAAAGAACCTACAGTTCTCCCCTAAAGTCTAGACCTCACTGCTGATTTTAGTTGATTGATAGGAGGTCTCTAAGAAGTGGCATTTAAATAGAGATCTGAATGACAAGAGCTGGTCCTATAAGAACAGAACAATCCCAGCAGAAGAAATAGCTATAGGAAACGCCCTATGCTGGGTATGACCCTGGGAAGGAGAAAGGCCTCTATGGCTGGAGTAGTCCTTTCCAGAAGAAACAGAATGCAAACCATATGTGCTATCTTAAATTTTCTAGTCACTTCACTGAAACAAAGTAAAGGTAGGTGAAATTGATTTAATGAAACTCTTTATTTAACCTGATGGTGGTGGTGTGCAGTGGAGTTGGTTCCGACTCATAGCATTCTGAGGCTGTGTATCTTTACAGGAGCAGAAAGCCTCATCTTTCTCCAGCGGAACAGCTGGGAGTTTCGAACTGCTGACCTTGAGGTTAGCAGACCGACTTGCAATCACTAGGATACCAGAACTCCTTTTATTTAACCTAGCATGTAAAAAATATTATCATAAACATGTAATCAATGTAAGAAATTAACAATAATTTATGTTCCTTTCTAATACCACATCTTTGAAAGCCGGGAGCAGGGATATTTTCCATTCACATTACTGGACAGCACTGATTTAGTGGCAAAGGCAAAGTAACACACGATCCAGAGGAAAGGTCTACACAGACCAGATCGCACACAGCTTTTGTAAAGCAGTGTTAATGAAGCCCACTGCTATCAAGGTGGTTCCAACTCTCATCAATTGTAAAGGACTGAGCAGAACTGTGAAGCTGGAAGCTACGCCACTGGTGGTTTAAATTCAGTGTTTCGTGGAACGATTCCATAGGGATTTTCAAGGCTTTAAAACTTCACAGAAGTAAACTGCCTCATCGTTCTCACACAAAGCAACTGGTGGGTTTGAACCACTACCTTGCGGTTAGCAACCTAGTGCTTAACCCACTACACCACCTTCAGGTTAATGGAGTTGGATTTTACTCTCATAGAAAGGATAGTGAACTGCAGTGTTTTTAACAAAA